AAATATTGGCCACGACCTCCCAAATAGGCAGTGAACTGCTTATTCACAGTGTAATACTTTCGGTACAACCATGACTCTCTAATGGGTTTATTGCAACTTTTTTGATGCATTGTCGCCTTTACCCATTTATTGCGTACTTTCCAAATATTCCTTACATAGTCGTCAGTGGAATTACAAATCTTTATGCCATCTTTCAGGGCTCGATACTCAGTATAATCGTACAACATGTTTTTATAGAGTATTGAAATGTCAGTCCGAACTTTGTATTCATCATCGTATTTTATATTGATGATTGAATTGCTGCACATCAATAGATCTTCCTTGGTATACTTTGTTGATTCGGGTCTGAATTTTTCTTCGCATGTACAAGGTTGACCGTCTCGCAGCCCATAATCATTTCTTGTGAAATATTGCCTCGTAGCTGCGAAATAGACAGTGAACTGCTTATTTACAGTGTAATACTTTCGATACAGCCAAGACTCTCTAATAGGTTTATTACAACTTTTATGATGTATTGTCGCCTTTACCCACTTATTACATACTTTCCAAATATTCCTTACATAATTATTAGTGGAGTTGCAAATCTTTATGCTAACATTCAAAACTCGATACTCACTATAATCGTACACCATGTTCTTATAAAGAATTGAAAAGTCAGTTCGAACTTCGTATTCATCATCGTATTTTATATTCATGATTGTATCGTTGCACATTAATAGATCTTCCTGGGTATACTTTGTTGATGTTGATCTGAACTTTTCATCACATATATAAAGTTTACCGTCTTTCACCCCATAGTCATTTCTTGTGAAATATTGGCCACGACCTCCCAAATAGATAGTGAACTGCTTATTCACGGTGTAATACTTTTGGTACAACCAAGACTCTTTAATGGGTTTATTGCAACTTTTTTGATGCTTTGTCGCCTTTACATATTTATTGCGTATTTTCCAAATATTCCTTACATAGTCATCAGTGGAATTACAAATCTTTATGCCATGATTCAGAACTCGATACTCAGTATAATCGTACACCATATTCTTATAGAATATTGAAAAGTCAGTCCCAACTTTGTATTCATCATCGTATTTTATATTGATGATTGAATCGTTGCACATTAACAGATCTTGCTGGGTATACTCAGATTTCAAATCAATTTCACGTCTGTTCCGGAGATGTTGAATTGTGAGTGAAGCAAACGTTTCTCTTTTGGCTGTTTCTCTCAAGTCATTCTCGTTAAAGAAATGATTTTCCAATAAAGATATATTTTTACCGCCATCGTTTTGCCATTCTGTCTCATTTGAGCGGGAGATGGTTGTCGATTCTTCGCGTGTAACGTTTACCTCAGACGGCGATGAAGTTGGAAAAAGCAGTACTGGGATCTTTTGTATTCTTTCATTTCGGAGTGTTTTCATCGCATTTGCTAAAAATAAAGTATATAGGTTAACAATTACTTCTTCTGAAATGCTAACACTCTCACATTAATATTTTTCAAATGTTACCTTTTCTAACCATCTTTGAAAAATCTGTTTTCTTCTTCGCATTGCGGCCATCAATTTGCTGATCATTTTCTGTCAAGTTCGGGACGCGTTCGTCTTGTTCGAGAGAAACGTCAACATTCAAGGGTTTGCCTTTGAATTCATCTTTAAATTTGTTCGCTTCTGTTTTATCTTCTCGCCTGCCATACTCTGACGAGGTAGACTCTGAATCACCATGGTAAAAAGAGGCGAAAATCAGACCGAAGGAAAAGAAAACGACTCGATACAGAAGTCGAAAATTAAAGCCACGGCCCATGTTGCAACTGCAAGCGTCGTTCAGCCAATGTGTTTTATTTGGGCAAAACACAAAGTTTAAAAACGCTTTCAAGTTTGAGTTTTTTTATTTCACCAGCTGTTCCACCAGTCATACACTTCATACACTCAAAATGCTAATAATTAGGAGGCTCGTTACTGATATTGAAAATGCAGGTCGAATAATTTGATATTCTTAAATTTCGTATTTTCACGTTTCGTACTGCAGGGCCTGGTGAATTAGGTTTTACATATTTTTAAAATTATGGCATGTACACGCATTGAAATGTTTCGTCTTCCAAATTAATTTTCGTAACACTTGAGCCTTGTACAGACCAGGACAAGTTCTTTGACAAATTTTGCCAACAAATTTTCTTTGACAAGTTTGCCTTGACATGTTTGGTTAAGGCCCATCTACTAGCTGGTTCTTCAACTATTCTTATCCTGGCGTATGTACTCGAATAAATGCGTGTAAAGATGTCAAATTTCAAACTTCGCCATAAACTGATGAACAGGAATAGTGGCGTCAGAAATCGTTTTCATACGCCAGGATAAGAATCGTATACGACTAGTCGTATCGTGTATATGGGCCTTTACAGTACTCGTGCATGCACAGAATGTTAATAAATATTTATCTGACGTCAAGGCCGCCTAATCTTGGTTGCCAAAACCATAGAATATTTCCTGTACACTTGTCTAGTTTTCCTTGGCGTCGGTACACACGAACAACTTTTCCTTGTCCAAAACTAAGCTGGAATGACTAGCATTGGAACAAGACTTCTTTGCAAGGAAAAATTGCCAGGGATGAAAATTAGCCTACCAAGTGCGTCGTGTCGCTGGAAAACAAAAATGGTAACTAACAATTTTTTCCATGCATGCATACACGTTTTTCGATATTTATATGCAGAAAAAAAATACTATAGCAAAAACTTCGTTTTCTTCAAATTAAATTTTTTTTGAAATACAGAATTTTATATTGATATTGAAGAAGTTTCTGTTTTATTATGCAATGTGCAAAATTAGAGCATATGTATGTCAATCAAGCGAAATATTAAAATATGCATATGCACTTTGATTTCTTGAAGTTATTCATGCATGGCGTCCGCAATTAACAGCCAACAGATGAAATGGAGCTCGCGGTGGAGAGAGCAATTCGCAACGTCTATTTTGGAGTTTTTTATTGGTTATATTTCCGGGCACACATAAGAAATTTCGTGAGCTTTTACTGTATATGTATGTTCTAACACCTTGTCCCTTCAATATAAGACGTTTTGGGTATTTCTACTCATCTTTCAATAGCTCTGATGATATTGTGTCGCCGGCAACCAAGACCAAGTGTTAATGAATTAACAAAACATTCAAATAATTCAAGTATATATATATGTCTTATTCAACAATTGTTTTTTGGGCTAAAATATTCATATTTTGTTGACAGCTTTTTTCACCTGTTGAGATACATGTCACGAACATTTTTAAAATAGCAGTTTGGGGAATAATACTTCTTATAAAAGTTCAAAAACCGTCGCCACAAAATTCGGCAAATTTACAGTCACGTACTGTGCATGATATGCCCCACAAGCCTTGTTTTCATGCTAGCTCACTTAGTGAGCATTTTAAAAATCTTTTAATCGCAAACAAGTTGCGTTGATCCGCAGTTGAAGAACCGAAATTAAACTGAAAATCTGTTTCATTTAGTGTGAACAATAAAATTACCCTCCCTGCAGGACAAGAACTTTCAAAATACTAATTCGTTTGCATGGAACGTCAGTTCTATAGCTAGACAGCAATCTGCAGGACATGAAAAATGGTATACCAGGCATTTTGTTGCAACTTGCAACGGGATTTCTGACATGAAGCGATGTTATCTGAAAAGTAGTTGTACGAAAATTGTCAACATAACCCATTTCTTTCAGGAATGCGTCAAACCTACGAATATAAGCCCACCTGAATATAGCTCAGAGGGCTCACTGGTTGGGCTGAAGAGACTCGTTCCCATGCAGAGTATGGCCATTCGCAGGTTAGGCTACTGCGCGCAGGCTAAGGTTAGGCCTGTTGGTTCCTAACCTGCGAACGGGCATATCTCTGAGAACGAGATTGGCTGAAGAAAGGTTCTTGCACACTAAATTAGAGTCGATAGTTGCATTTTGCTAAACTGCTCCTGGTTAGGTCTAATAAATGTATAAAAATTCCACTCGAAATTTCATTTCTGCTATTACAAAATGAATAAACTCTTGCACATGCGCAATATTGCCACTGTTGAATATAGAAACTCTTCAGTGAATGTTACATAAAATATCTCCTATTTATAAGATATTCTGAATTTCCAAGGGGGGACTGAATAGGTTTTCGGATCATCGAATTTCACCGAAAAGTTTGTTCGGATTTCGGATCTGGCGAATATTTTAGACGGATTTGCGGAGCTTATTAATACAACGGATTGCGGATTTATCCAATATTTTGGCTCGGATTGCTGGCAATTTAGTTCGGATCCTGGATTGTCACTTCATAGTACTTAAAGCTTTTAGCGGATTCAAATATAGACAAGACCATTGTCGGACCGCCGATTTTGCTTCAAATTTGGGCGGATCGGCGGATTTGTATACCCGTATTCAGCCCTCTTCCAATATGGTGACTTTTGGCGAAAGTTTCGAATTGTATAAAATTCCGAACGGAGCTGAACTTATTGGCGCTGAAAAACATTCTGAAGACGACCATTTTATCCTGACATTTAAAAATAAAGAAGTTCTTGTATATAATGTAAGTTTTGTTCCTTTTTGCACAGGGAATAGTCTTCTATTTTTCAAAACGGACAAAACCTTAAACCTTGATTCGCATATTTGTTCGCTTGATAACACGTGGTGTTTTCAAGTGTTCATTTGTGCAGTGGAAATATTAATAGGATAGTACATAAGTTATACAGTAGTGTAGATATATGTAAAACAATTTAGTTATAATTGTAACACACTTTATATTATTTTAATAACCGTATTTCAGAACCATCCTCTGAGATACGAAAACCAAGTTTCATATTAATAACAGTATACTTAATATAATTAAAGTAAAAAGGTGAAATATCCAGTGTGGAAAGTTTGTATCGCGCGCACTTTTGATGCTTTCGATATATTCACTAGAATATTTTCAAAATCTTCCCCGCGCAAATTGCAAACTTTTCAGTCAGGAAAAGCTTCAATTCCCATCCTCGTTCCCAGGGCTTCTCGGCTGCCTGCGTTGCCGTAAGCCCTGGGACAACCCGAGGCAGAAGTGATTTGATTGGTCGTTGGAAATAGAGTGAAATATGAAAAGTTCATTCATCAAGTGGATGTTTATATTCGGCAATATGGCTGCCTTTGAGGAGTGCGCGTTCGAACTACGAAGAAATACAGACGTATAATGCTTGTTTTCTGTGGATTAATTGAGATAATAATGTAGCTCGCATGCAGTTTTCATGGTCTTGCAAATTGCTACCTATGACCTAAATATTTGTTAATGTTTACGTAAACTTTTGAGTGTCTGCATAATTCTTCTTTTCAATTACTTCGGTTTAAGGCAAGTTAAACACAATTTTCTTGTGATGTCACTCTGAGTGTATATCCACACCGGGCAGGCTTGAAATATATGCTTGGCCACGGTGGGAATCGAACCAACGACCTTAGGAATACTAGCCCAATGCTCTGCCGCGTAGCTCAGTTGGTAGAGCATTGGGGCTAGCATTCCAAAGGTCGTAGGTTCGATTCCCACCGTGGCCAGGCATATTTTTCAAGCCTGCTAGTGTGGATATGCACTCAGAGTAACATCACAAGCATCTCAGGGGCGGATCCAGGTTTTTGGATGACCGGTTTACTAGTGTCCGGGGGGCATGCTCCCCGGGAAATTTTTAAAATATGGGCCTCTGAAATAGCATTTCCTGCGTTTTGGCGTCACTTTTTAAATTAATTTAATGGTTAGAAAATATATGTTTTTAAGATAATTTTGGACTAATACGCAGCTCAAACAATGAATGATAAAAATATAGGATTGGCAAATTGCTGACGCATCGATATTTATTTATTTTATTACAAGTACAACAAGTTACAAGTAGAGATGCTAAAACATAGCTGTAATCTTATAGTTGTATTGTAATGTTGTAATCTATATACTTTCAAACCAACATTAACAATGAAATAGAAACCAAACTGCAAGAGCGTGAAAGTTTCACAATCATTTTCTGATTCTCTATTGCGAACGCAATGATTCTGTCACGCAATATTAGGCTATATACATATTTCGCGCTATCATGAGTGTAGACTGTAATTACTGTATAGAAGTTACACGTATAAACATCGATACGCTTGTCGACAGATCGATATTTATTATACTTATTATACAGTAAGTAGAAATAGCTTACAGGTATAACTTTAGACTATATAGTTTTAAACAAACCTTCAAAATGAACAAGAAATCCATGTAAGTGCTTCTGCATGTCGCCAACGCAATAATTGAGTCACGCAAAATTATAAACATATTTCGCGGGTCCTCGACTTCTGTTAACCTTCATGCCCAGTTTTCTCTAAATACTGCTCGAATCACAGGTTTATTACCGGTTTACATCCGGCGGAGCGCAGCCGTTTAGCCAATCGAATGGCGTATCGACCGGTTTATTCTCATTGAGAAAACTCTGACCACCGGTTTACTCATAATTGCGGGCGGTTATTTGTGATTCATGCGATGTTTCAGTCCACAACCCACGAAGATATATTAGCAGATTATTAGTCTAGTATTACAACATTTCGTAAGAGGAAACCAACGCGACAAGTCCTTAATTAACAAGACGCCTGCTCAGGCGTTCACACTGGCCTGAAAATAACGAGATTTCTGAAAATAACGACTTTTCGGGAGACGTAATGGAGATCGATGCACGTGCAAATCATGCCGACCTACAGAATCGATTTTCGGTTTTTCCTAACAGCACGTTGTTTTCATGTGCGTTCTATGGGCCGCGCTAAAAATATAAATATTCTGTAAATACCGAAATAAAAAATGAAAATCTCAAGACACAAGCTTGAAATAACACTATAAATAGTGTTTTCGATTCTGGTTCCAATAACATTATCACGAAAAAGATATGTCCAAAGGGGCCGAAGTTATGTTCGGCAAAATGTATGGCTAGTTTACATTGTTTGTTGTGTTATGATGAAATATGATACTATACTTGTATTAAAATTCGCGTCGAACTAATGTTATTGTAAATGAGTAGACTTGCCACAAGTCGACCTCGAACGAAATGCGTTTCTTCGAGGTCGACTTGTGGCAAGTCTAGCAAATGAGAACCATACAAATGATACAATAATGGTTCTAGTTCTTGTTGGTATTTTGAACGCACGCTTTATCTTTAGTATAGCTACCACAAAGCTTTTCGCGCGGATTATATTTCGTGGAGTACTAAATATTATATTTTGTGGTTTTCGAGTCATTACACAAAGAAAAACACATTAATTCAACACGCAAGAAAGTCCAGAGTACGACACAACGTAAAATACATAGGAACCGGCACAATTCTTTGAAAATTCAACGAAACTGTGTAAAATATAGGTTGATCACTCTGTGAAAAGTCGCCATTGCAGTTCGGAATTGTGCGCGTGCGTACAAGTGTATAGCTAATAAACGAAAAATGTACCACAAGCATGGCATGAGTCGGCTATTACGTACATATATACGAGCTTATTACTATACAATCTAAATCAAGGAACCGAGGGAATCGATGGCATTTTGGCTTAATGGTTGCACCCTGAGCCTGCGATGAGCTAACGCAAACTCGATTTCTCGACTACGAAAAAAAAACAGAAAAAGGAGGATTTAAGACACTTGGCCTTACAGGCCAGTGTAATTAAATGCTTATTACGCAAGTAGGTCTAAATACACTCGGTAATCCATAATCAAATTTCAATAGATCAGACAACATCAATTTTATGAAACAGAATATTCTTTAAATTAGTTATATACATGAAAGATTATAGATTTTCTTTCTTTGGAAAATCTGACAGGTTTATATATTATAAACCTGCCAAACCTGTCTGAATCCGCCCCTGCATCTTATTCACCTGAGTACATTACACCAACACAGCAAATATCATTAAACACAATTGTATCTTGTTATTTTCTTTTTAGTTGCTTACCCTCTAAATACTGTGCAAATGCCTACACATGAAGCATGTTCAATGTATAGACGAAATATAATTAAAGTGAGTTCGAACAGACCAGAACTAATTATTGACCGAAAGTCACCTGCTCTCATTCGCAACCTCTTTAAAAAACTTAAGAGAGGAGAACTACAGCTTTGCGAACAGCCTGATGTAACGTTTGTTGGAGAAGAAGGAATTGATGCAAAAGGTTTTTCAAAAGAGTTGGCATACATGATTGTCAAAGGCCTAAGAGAAGGAAATAAAGGCTATATGTTATTTGAAGGTCAAGCCAATCATATGTTGCCAATTCACTGTGAGGAACATGTTCAAAGTAAGCTGTTTGTATATGCTGGTCAGTTAATTGCATTTGCCTTCCTGCATGGTCACATTGGTTTTCCTGGAATGTCTCGAGCTCTTGCAAAGTATATTGTCTCTGGAGATCTAAAAGATGCCGTACCTCATATATGTATTAAAGATATTCCAGATATCAATACAAGATTACTTGTCAAGGAGGTGAGTACAAGACTGAGAAAATATATATAAACTAGTAGTTACTATCGCAAGAACATTGCTGCCACAAACTTGACGCTCGCAATAGATACAGTACATCAGATCGATATTTGGATGATGCAACCATGAAAAGTGGAAACGTAACAACCGAGCCGTTTAATGTACGTTTATTATTCCGTTTATTATGTTTGCTAATTGGAGTGAAAGTTCATTTATAATGACGTTTGCTCGTTAAAATGTTTAGCGCAAGGTATAATAACGCAAAATATCTAATTAAACATGCCTGTGCAATAAAAGATCTTGTTTGCAGCCACAGGATGTAAATCTCGACCAAGCCCAACATTATACCCAGGGTTTCTAGGTAAGAGGTTGATAGATTACACTCTGGAGTGGACTCTGGCACGTCAGTAATAGTGTGCCACCTCTCAGCAACCTGTTGTTAATGCTGATTTCCATTGTTGCGTTTTTCATACGTACGTATACGCACGTGAAACTTTAAATCCGTTTAAGCGTTACTTATGAAATAACTAAATAAATAAAGCAACAGAATTTAGTGTTCCGCAAGTTTTAGTATGCATTTGTTAACTTATTTGTAAAATATTTAAAAAATAGAAGGATTCAAAGTTTTACGTACATGTACGTGCGTACGAAAAACGCAACAGTGGAAATCAGCCTTTATATTGTTAAAACTATAACATGCAATAAAGCATGCATAAAGGTGATATATTAGATTAGGTGTGTACTCTTGTAAATCCTAAAAATCAAGCAGCAATATAATTAAGGGGATCTCTATCAATATAAATTAATTGCTCTATGCTTATGAATATTATTGATGATGAGGCCGTAAAATCTTTTTTATCATGATGAGATTACCAAATAATATTATAGACTCATTGCATTTAATTAATATGTATATACTATAGATTGAAAATGCAGAAACAAAGGAAAAACTGGAAGAGTTATATTTACGCGACGAAATGCAGAATCTCCTTGCCCAAGCTGGCTTTGCAACAGAGTTTCTTTCTCCCACAAACAAGGACAGAGCTATTCAAGACATCCTTGTGCATACGATTTTTAAGTCTCGCCGAGAGGAAATTGAAGGTTTACGTGAAGGGATGGATGCCTTGCATTTGCTAGATTTCCTTCGTGTTAGCGAAGTGTCTATCCCCACTTGATTCCGAAATAACATTTTCAGCAACAGAGGTCATTAATGCAGTCAAGCATGATGAAGGTGGCAGTCTTTCTGGGCACCAGCATATGGTTATTGGATGGTTTATTGAGTATGTTAAAATGTTACAAAAAGGTACGTACAATAAGTTGCATATTGTTCTTTGCAGTAAGCATTATAATGATGTAGAAATTAGAATCACAACAAAGAACATTGTCATTGAAGAAGATCAACAGGCCAAATGGCCAATCAGTTTAAGGGCTTTTAATAGTAGTCAGCTTTAGGCGCCGCAAATATATTTTCGGCAGCCTCGAGTGTTAGAATGACAGTTGCATGATTGTTACTATTGTGGCGTATTTATTGGAATTTAACTGGCGTGTCATGCAGCCATATTCATGCTGTTCACGTGCCAACTGTGAGTTTAATTTCACCTTTTGAAAACGGTGCAAAAACAGGGAATGTTTTCCACCCTAAACGTATTAATGCGGATTGGAATGCAAGGTAATGTGTTGTACAAACTTGGAATATATAATTGTGTTTTTACATGCGTGTAGATGAAAATGATGCTGTCACTGATGACACTGCCACTGGCGAGGGAAGTGAGTTACAAAGTGCACCTTCTTTAAAAGAATTGGTTCTGTTTATCTTTGGCCAACCTGTTCTGCACATGGAAATAAAAGTGAAATTCATGAATGGTTACTTTCCTGACCCTGATTCGTGCTTTGGTAGAGTAAGCCTTCCTTTGATGCACACGAACTATGAACATTTTTGTAAAGCAATGAACGTAGCAATTGATTCTCAGCATGTACTCTAGTACATATGTATAGACATAAATGTAGTCTCTGAATATGCAGTGAAAAAACACTTGAGTTATGTTAGTTACATTTGAGCAAATAATTATGGTACAGTACATGTGCACAAACAATTCCGTGTTAAAAAAGTGTCCATTAATTACCTTTTGCACTTTAGTACATTTCTGTTTGTAACATTTCATTTATGGTAATATTGCTTGATTATGATGGTGCTTGTGAAAGTGCCATTAATCTCAAATATGATTGTTTCACTGTATAATTTAAGGGATATGATATCATTAAGGGAATTATAGATTAGTTATACTTTGTTTTTTTTTTGCTGCAAAAATCATTCCACAACATCATATCTGCAAATTTCGACAAAGAAAAGTTGGCCAAGAATCATGTTTCTGATCAGTGGCGCTTAATGCTTAAGCTTAATGAGTAATCTTATCTTGTACAGTAACTGTTATTACTGATTTATATTATATGTTTAAAAAGTTCCTATGGTTGCAAGAGCTACTATATAAGAGTCTATTCCTTGATCATCATGTTGAACACTGGCTATTGCATTGTTAATTATGTTCACTTGATCATCAGAGAGTACAACGGTTGATTCAGGTACAGACACCAGATCACCTTCTTGAATATCTGGTATAGGCCCATCTTATTCAATCCCATATTCATCCCAGTCTATAACTTCTCCATAAGCAACAGCATGGACAGTAGTGTAGTCATCGTGTACGTGCTGCATCATCCCCTGCTCCCATAATTGTCTTGGGCTGTAGTTTTCCTCAGTAGTTATTGGATGGCTATTCCACTGATCTTTGAATTCCCGCAGAGCATTGTTGATAAGTGGTATGTATATACACAAGATGGAGGCAGTAAAGGTGGACTTCATTTGTAGCATCTAACACACCATGATTTTCCAGGAATAAGAAAATATTTCGAAATCTACTGACAACGAGTCTATTCACCTCTCGCCACAGTCTCTCTATACGTTGATTATGTACAGAACTGCCTGTGATAATGCTACCCCTGTTTAAACCCCGAACTTGCAGCATAGCTCTTGCCACATCTATATTTTCAAGTCCTTTGTCGCTGCGCACTCGAGATGGCCAGTTGTATTGCCTGATAGCTTCTCTAAATAGATTAAGAACAGTAGCTGCCCTTAGCTATTGTTATTTGCAACTCCAATATAGACCAGTAGACGTGAATAGCCATCGATTCCCCCATGAATCACAAATCTAAATGGCTGCACAAGCTTGTGATCACCATCTATATGCCTATTTAAACAAGCAAACGCATTCAATATCACAAACTATGCAGTTTAATGTAAATAACCAAACTGTGGGCTTTTTGCTTTGCCATATTTTGTAATTTATGTCCTTGGTAACACGGCCAAGACAGATCTTGCTTCACCACTAGCTGATTTAAAAGTTTATAATTTCAAGAAAACAAAGCAAATAACATGACCATCAATATAGTTGATTTTGTATTTAGTACTCATGGGAAGTTCTTGGAGGTTTCTAAATATATGCTATCGAGAGGAACAGCTCCTGACCACTAACAAAATCATTGGAGTGGCAGGGTCTTGTCTTCCACCTACCCGCAAACAAAGTTGAAGCCTTGTGTTGTCCCCCCCCCTGCACACCTTTCTATAATCATGAAAGTTTGTTGCTGCAAAGCTTTCACCATCCCTTAACAATCAATTTTAGTTGGCTTGTAGTGTTAGGGAAGCCTCACATATCGATTTTGTCCATGAGAAACGTAATATAGATGTTTCTCTGGAGACCCCCACCCCACCCCCTTAGAAATGTCACACATAGTTATTGATATTTTGTTCTTATAATAGACAAAAGGTAATTTTCTACGGTCAGCTGTTGGCGATGTTTCCGCGAGGAATATGCATGTCATCTTCTGCAGTAAATTTTTCTGAGCGATGACCAACCTCGTTCCCAGGGTCTTCAGGAAAGACCCTGGTATCGGCTGGTCACGTGCCTCGTCCAAAATTGATTGCCCGAGGGGGGTGTGGTGAAAGTATCAAATTACAAACAGTTAAAACATAAATTTTGCGAACTATTATCAGTAATTTAAAAATGAAAATTAAAACCCAGCAAATGACTTTCAGACAAGACAAGACATAACAAAAATATAAAATTTATTGGCTAACGTTTCGTTGTATTGTTCACAACATTTCAGAGCAATTAAACTTATTTACAAGCGTAATTTATTGGCTAACGTTTCGTTGTATTGTTCACAACATCTTCAGAGCAATTAAACTTGTTTACAAGCGTGCATTATATAATTTTTGTTTATTTTATTTGCTTTGAATTTACAAGAACATTCTTACATTTTTACCAACAGTCAAGTCAAGAAACAAAGCAAATCGTTACTCGCAGTGCTCTCTCGTGTTATTATTATTCAATGCTCTCGTCACACTCGAGCGCGGTTTTATAACAAACGTTTATGGGCTTTTCAGTGGTCACCATTTCTACATATCTAATGTTTTTAAAACAAGCATTAGATTTGTCCTTTCTTGTAAACTTTGCTATGCATTGCATGTCTTGTTTATAAGATTTTTAAAAGAAACAGTATTGTATTGTCTAGAACTAGAGAGTAGAGCCCAATATCAGCAAATGTAAACATTTGATACTAGCCAAACAGAGAAATGTCTGCCAGTGATTTATCTTTAAAATTTTGAATTTAGTACATAATTCGTAATCATTAATTATAGTAAGGCTTTAGCCTTTTTCTTGGTCAGATAATGTTTTCCTAATTTGCACACAACTAGGCCATAATTACATCACCAACTTACAGTTCAGACGCGCACAGACTGCCATATACGAATAGTCAAATACACATAAATTTTCGAGTTTTCTACTTCTACTAAGGCTACTAACATTTTTCATTGCGTCTCAATCGTCTGTTTATTTCTAGTTCAATAAGTTCATTTACATTTCTATATTTATTTGATAGTGGCATATATAGTGATACATGTAGGCTATTTACACACAAGCAATCCTGGATATGATAGAGACGATACAAGCTGTCCATTAAAAAATAACGGTATTCTATTTCACAAAGCAAAACATTTAAATCTCAGTTGTATTATTAAGAATATATATAAAGCAGAAAATTAAAGCTTGTGTCAAAACGAAAGATGTTTATAAAATTTATAAGTGTGGTATAAACACAGACAGTACTAAACAGTGCTCATTGAAAGACATAAATATATTGTCGTTTGACTTATCTTTGATGTATGACTTTACTGTAATACCGTAGATTTTCAACAGACAGCTAGACTTCGACATATATCATGATCGTTGACGTTGAGATCTTGCAGGAAATTTTATAGTCTTTTGACGGGATTTAAGTTTTTTGATAAGGCCTTATAATCAACAATCTCGATACAGTTGGCGTCTTGGCGATACCTCGGGCGATACAGTTTCGGAAATCAAAACATCTCCTAATTATTGGTCCACATCTCATCAATAAATAAATTCTTTTGGTGCGAGTATCAGGATATACTTTAATACTAACACTTAAATAAATATAAACCACATTGGTCGGTCTAGAGATATATATTTTCTTGTAGGCTTTAAAATATTGCCACGCCGCCCAGGTGTTTCTTTGGCAAGTCTATAAGTTGAAATCTGATCCAACTTGCTTGAATTGTAACTCGACACTAGATTATAGAGCAGAAAGTCACATCACGATAAATATTAATTTTTAATTGCAGCTCTCTTCACGATTTCTTCTTGCAAATTTAAATTTCATCACACAAAATTGCAAATATTGTTACAAACGCGACAAACACGCTCCTCTCCCACCCTGCCCATAGTATCATTTTAATTTATCACCCAGAATCTGGGTGACACGTGACCAGCCGAAACCAGGGTGGTAGGGGCTGGTCACGTGACCCATAGAAAATTGATAACCTAAGAGGGGGATGGAAAAGTATCAAATTAGATGTTTCCACTTCCGCACCTCACACTTCGATTGCAAGGAGTGACCGTTCTATACAATCATCTTTGAGAATCATATATACTTCAAAATACTTGCTAAATTGGTTTCTGTTTGCTTTTAAATTATACAAACATGCTAAACTGTAGATTCTTATAGCAACAAACAAGTCAGAAAATCAAGCAACGAAAACGTATGATCGTATATGCTTGGAAATATTTGCCATTTTATTGTCTCGCGGGGTTAGGGCGCAGTTTCATTTCACGCGTACGTTTCCGTATCTGGCTCTGGTTCAGATACGTATAATATTCTTATAATGTGCCATTGAATTGTTGTCATATGGAAACGGTATAAATTTTGTTAAATAGAGGTCTCAAAAGCGACTGTGTAAGTCGTAGGCGTAGCGCCATGTTGGTCCTACAGCAAACGTTACATATTTGGACACTAGCCAAATAGACATTGAATGTCCATTCTATTGATTCTAAAACGGTTTATAGACATAGTGCTCTAGATTTTTTTAAAAAGGTTATCATCGTTTATATTCAACACAAGGTAGGAAGGAGTGTTAACGTACATGTACAAAACTGTTTGGGATCAACAGTAAAGAATTATACGACAATTCACAACTGTATGCATTTCCTTTTTTGTCTGCACGAGTACCTGTTTGTCGAAGCCAAAATCACTAAATCAGATTGCACAGAATCTCCGATATGAATTATATAGCCATTCACCCTCGCCCCTTGAATGCAAAGGAATGATAGCCGAAAAGGTTTAGCAAAGTATTTTTTATTATATCTGGTATAAAGTGTCCCTACGTTTTATCAGGGATATATATACATAATTCATAAACTGTATATATGCGCACGAAGTCCAGCTCATAGAATTACTTAATTAATGAGTTTTAATAAGCCTTTTAAAGTTTCCATTGATTAGGTTGTTTGCCTCTAGTATGGTTTGGTGAAACTGCTAAAATGTCATTTATACAGTATACGATAAAGATTATTTAAAGTTGATTTAAATATTGATGACTCACAGCAGCATTATACAAGTCCAAAGA